TCAAAAAGAATGTTCGCCTTTCGACAGCAGCTCGGCGCTAGGGCCTGCTGCAGATTCGCGGGGAAGTGAAGAAGAGCGATGCCGTGGCCACGCTACTGTCCACCAAGGCATTACAAAATATGGTTACAGACGCTTGGCAAAAGTTGATTTGGGGGCAACAACGCAACATGCATGTTCTCAATATGTTGCAGTCTCGTGCTGATGGTAGTGGAACGTTTGTGTTATATGCCGATGTGCATGATGCTCTCGAGCATCGCATTGGCCAAGCTTCCATGACTCGGGTGACCAGCTGGAGCATAACGCTTGCATCGGCCTCATGTTGCCGCTCATCATGTGGAAAGCTCCGCAGTAGCAAACATGAAAACTCCGGGGGAGGTCAGAGTATGCAACTGTACAATCTAGCAACAGTTCGTCCAGTACATATCGAGTTCAGTCTGCACCTGCTATCCATGAAGCATCAAAGTAGATGCACATGGCTCAAACATGCAGCTGTCAATCGAGAGAGAGAGAGAGAGAGAACCTGGGTGGATTGCCTTGGAGCTTGTGGCCAAACAGCAGCCTGTGCGTTGGAAAAGGAATGTGAGGCATCTAGTTTCAACCTCGCTGCCGAAGAGATAGAGCCATGGGTCAAAATCCAAAGCCCGTACCCCCAGTGAACGGGTCCAAGGGTCAAAACCCCGTACCCCCCGTGAACATCCCAATCCAACCACTAAAATAGGTTCTAAAATGGGTGGTGAATTCACCTGCCCCAAAATGGGATCCAAAACGGTTTTGACCCACAGCCATAATATCAAAGAGGCCCATCCACCCTGATGGCTTTGTTGCACTTTTGATGTCCTCGCGCCAAAACACCCAGGAGATGCGAGAAGAGATCTCGGGCAGCATGGAGAATCTGCGAGATGTCATCAAGGAGCCCGATGAAGTGTCACAATATGGCTGTGGTTGTCAAAACCGGCCATATTTGAAAGCTCTGAATGAGGCGGAGCGTGCAGGTCATGTTATTGGATTTTGCAAAGGCGGTTTAGGAGTTCAGGCAAGTGATGTTTGAACCCGGCCAGGACGATGTTCAGGCGCGATTGGAGGTGCTGGTGCAAGCCTACGCAATCAACAATCCACGATACCGCTCGGCAGTCCTTTGTTGAATATTTGCTCGTTTTGGACGCAAAGTACAACCAGTGCGGATGACAGTGGGTGATATGTCACGGCTGGGGTCAATGAAGGTGAGTTTTGCCAGCTTCCTTTTGCAGCAAGTGGTGAATAAGACTTTTGATGATTCAAGATAGCCATTTGGTTTTAGTCTTTGGTTCCATTTACCAAGGGTGCCATTTTGGTACATGTTTTTGAGCCACAGCCATTTCAAGCAAGGGTACGGCTGACAAAATCCACCCGCGTCAATGGCTCAGCGAGCCCTGCAAGTTTTGACCTTGCCCTTTCTGCAGGAGTTGCGGTAGGGCCGGTTGGCAGGCAACTTCATTTGGTCGGGTTCCTGCTTGTGGACGAGGAGAATCTTCTTTTTGGGGACTAATATGGCTGTGGGTTAAAACCAATGGTACTATATTGGGGTAGGTGCACCACCCGTTTTAGAGCCTATTTTAGTGGAGATTGGGATGTTCACTGGGGGTACGGGATTTTGACCCATGGCCATATTTGGATTAATGAAATGTGAATTCTGTATGAAGGCCACTTTCGATGTTGCTTTTGCAAGGAAAATCAGGAATTCGGCGGATGCTTTCAGCCTCAGGCTGCGCTCCAATTCACTGCAGAACAGCTGTATCCACTGCCAGCTCCTAAACCGCTCAAACCGAGCTTTGAACATCGGGCTTCGTTGGTCTTCATGATCCTCAGGCTGTGGTTGGTGAAACTCCTTTGACAGTCTCCAGCCTGAGGGGTGTCACTGACGAAGTGCAAATTCAGTCGGCCATTTTCTGACTGCGAAGTTTTGGAAGGCTTTGGGGGACTCACGCAGCGTGTCAGATGGCCCATGGGAATCTCTTTCGTCGCCAAGAAAAAGCTGTGCACAATCGTGAGCCAAGCGCTTGGCTCACGGATAACATCATATGCTCAGATTCAGATGCCAGCTGCGCACACTAACCTCTTTCCGTGCCCAAGCATCGTTCAAACTGGGAAGCTCCGAATATGGATTTTTAACAGCAGACATGATTGACAGGTTCTTGCATTGTTGCATTGGTTTAGTATTGATTTAGTATTGGTTTAGAATTGGTTTAGTATTGATTTAGTATTGGTTTAGTATTGGTTTAGTATTGGTTTTGTGGTGGATAAATCCTGAACCTGGGAAAGTACTTTCTGGTCGGCCGTTTTGTTCACTAGATCACTGTTTGCTGACGCCTATCTCGTGCTTCTCGAGGGTTCCAAGAGCAAAGCACGTCGAGCTAAGCAACTTGTCAAAGCATAGGATTGTTGGAAGATGCTGGACACTACCTCAGCAAGTCGTCAGCCAGGTTTCCTTCTCGCTGGTAGCTTGCTGCAGATTGCACATTTGGACATGTTTCGTGTTGTGCTTATAACCCCACATTTTGTCAGGCGAACGATTGGTGTTTTTTTCTTTACTAGTCGGGGCTTAGCCCCGGTTAGGGGACTGGTTGGTTGGTTGGGTGGGTGGGTGGTTGGTTGGTTGGCCGCATCCCAGCATCCCCAGCATTTGAGGGTGAGTGTTGGGCTTGCCGAGGTCTGTTTTGGAAAGGGCTGACATCCTGGATGCTGCTGGAAGGGGTTAAGGTTGACTTTGAGTCGGTTTGGCTTGGCTTGGAGCTGATTTGCGCGAGGTGTGCGGCCACGGTTTTTGCACTAGCCAAACCACCCAAACCAGCCCAAACCACCCAAAACTGCAACCACGCCCTGAAGCAGCCCAAAGGCAAGTGCAAAAACCGGGCCGCACACCTCGCGCAAATAGCTCCAAGCCAAGCCAAACCGACTCAAAGTCAACCTTAAACCCAAACCCAAGACCCGCCTCATTATATAAGACCTCGGCAAGCCCAACACTCACCCTCAGCCCTAGTCAGAGCGAGGCCGGTGATGCTGGGGATGCTGGGGATGCGGCCCACTTACACCCAACCTGGCCAACTAGGCAACCTGAGAGCGAAGCAAGGGTTCCCAGCCAACCTCTTCAGAGCCACATGGGGCCGGCTTGTGCTGAGCCGGGGCTAGTAAAAAGCCGGGCTAGTAAAAACCAAAAAACACCTCAACCAATCTTTGTTGCACAGCGTGCAGTAGAATGAACTAGTGCAAAGCAAAATACGCACACCTTCCTCTGCTCGGACAGATGGCGGTCCTTGTGCTTGATCTGGCATATGTTGCATACGCGCGCGCACGCAGCGGGAATCGTCCATAGCGCGGGGGCCCACCTTAGATCTCACTTCGAGCAAAAAAGCTGAAGCGAGAAGCCATTTGCTCCCTGCTTTGTGGATAGCTGGGTTGGCTGGGCAATGCGACGTTAATGCATTTGCATGACTGAGCGTTTCAGCCATTATTACTACTATAGCCTTACAAGTGCGCCCACCCCGGATGTGGTGTTGGAAACGGCACACGAGCTTGCATGTGTATTACCCAGAAGCGCGTGCAGCACTCGCCCACATCGATCGCTTGTCCCAGCTCTCTCTCCCTCTCTCTCTCTCTCTCTCTCTCTCTCTCTCTCTCTTTCTCTCTCTCTCTCTATCTCTCTCTCTCTCAATCTCTTGTTGTTGATCGTGGAGCTAGAGGCCTGCAACGAAGAATGTGTGCAAATACATTTGAGTTCAATCACCCATGGCAAACACAATGTTGGTGCTGAGTGGCTATATTGTCATAGGGGACTGAGATAGGCGATTGAAGCTTGGCAATCTCAAGACTGCGGGCTTGAGCAACCAGGCATCAATATGAACTTACGAAAGCTTCCAAGATTGACAGATGTTCCTTCAGCCGGGCCAGGGCAAGGGTGGACAAGGTGTCAGTCACTTGTTTGAGGATTGGGGGTGACGGGGGTTTCAACAGTTGTGCTATTCTCTGGGCGAAGCTCGCGAGTTCCCCCGGCATGTTGCATTACTTGGCCCTTGCGTTCAAGCAGCTTATTAGCAGCTCATCATTTTTCAAGGGCCATGCCACACAACTTTATTTTTGTGTGAAGCCGGACGCATGGGAGCTTCTAGAAGCGCTCATCGTCCAGACTCAGAGTTTGACCATGGCCCGCTTTGAATTGCTTCCAGGTCTCAAAATAATGAGATCCCTTTGCGTGCCATGACAGTGTGACCAGCTGGAGGTGGGGCACAGCAAGGTGAAATGTCAGCGTTTCGCATGAGAGAAAAATGTTTTTTTCAGTCCAGACGGAAGGACGGTGTTGCCCTGTGCGTACCAAGGCAGGCGCGGGGCCCGCATCAGGCCTCCATGTGCAAGGCTTCTAACCAGTCTAACCATTGTCGCCCTAACCCTTGACAGTTTGCTACTCATTGTGATTTCAAGGGGCCGAGGACGAGAATTAGTCTTTGCATGGCATTCAGGATAACTGACTTCAGTATTTTTTCCATTTGCGAGGAGCTGAACAAATGCATGCAAAGGTATTAAGTGTGTTTTTTTCCCCTTGCTGACTCGCTGACCCTGCTCACTTTGCTGGGTTGACTGTCACCTGCAAGCTCGGCTTGCACGAAAAGAGCAAGGTGATTTTTCAGGCAAACCTGCCAAATGGCATAGGAGTTGCCGAAGGCGTTTTCGGACGGATTTCAGTTTGGCCTCAGCCAGCTTTCCTGCCCGTCCGTTTTGGTGTTGTCAACTGAGCACAACACTTGTTCATGGCTTCGCATTCGAAGGAAAGCGGCTTTTGGCTGATACCATTTGAGCTGCAAAGGGCTCTCGCGCAGCTGAACCAACAGAAAAGCTGGCATGCCATGCCGCAGCAATGATGCACTCTTGCCAGCTCAGCAAGTGACTGACTTGAACAGACTCATTGCAGATTACAAGGTACTGCAATGCTTAGAGTTGTGAAACAGCTTGCAACCCCATCCTATTGTCAGGTGCAGAAGCCTGAGTCGGAGCATGAGTTCCTTGGATGAATCTGGTCAAGTTCCATGCGGAATCAGTATGCTGTGGTCAAGTCAATTCCTGATCGACGTCGGTGGGAAAGATTAGGCAGAACTGAGTGGCTTCTGACAATTGAGACGCCTTGATTCGGGTTTCCCCCTATACCACGACTACTGGCGGTAAGAATATGCATCTTTCAGAGGATACTGCCCTTTTTCTTGACTGCTATTGGGTTGGATCTTTAGACTTTCACTTTTTGGGAAATCAAGGGGTTTTCCACGCAACCCCCCAAAAAGTTAAACTTTTCGCAGGGGGGTCAACAGCAACCGTTCGCTTCGTCCTTGCTTTGGCACCAAAGTTGCAAGCTGCAGAAGTCGGAGCCAGGGCCGGCGAGCATCTTCGCCAACTGCTGGCGAGCTTGTGGTCGCCCAAGGCGCGCGTGGTCCATGCAACTGGTGGGGGGTGGCAGATATGTTGACCCAGGATGAATGAGCCCATCCCATTATTAGGGCGGTGCTCCCTCCGAAAGTGATGAATCCCCACTAAAAGGGGACACCCCCCCTATTAATCAGCCAGGTGTTTATTAATCCGGTGTTATAACATTAGTAGACATGCAACGCTTTGATTCTTCCATGGGCGTTTCTTGTCCACGGAAGATAATGAGTATGACTGGGACGATATCACCCTTCCAATCTTTCCAAAATCCCATCATCCCTACGTGTGAGGTACATTTAAAGCCGGAGTAGATTGAGAGTGTCTGTGTGCATTGCACGGCAAAGTCTGCTCGGAAAAGCGAGCAAGCTGGTGAGGCCTGCTCCCTGCGCATGCGTTTGATTCGCCAGGTGGCGAAAGCCAAGGTGAAGAAGCTTCAACACGGCTATCTGCAGGTGCGGGTGACATGGGAAGTCTCCTGTCTGCTGTCTTCAGCCTGGCTGCACCCCAAAGTCAGTTGCCACCAGGGGTTCCACTTTTTGGCTACCCCAAGATAGACTTAAGCGCAGGGGTTCTCTTTTTTGGGGGAATGAACCACCCCTAGGTTTAAGTCTACCCTGCGGTAGTCGAAAAGTAGAACCCTGGTTGCCACATTGTACCGCGACTGCCCGGACGGTCTCAACGTTTCTTTTCCGTTTCCGCAGTGTTGCAGAGGGGGCTGCTCAGATTTTGGGAGCCGAGATGCTTTGAGCCAAACCTCCAGACTTTGCACGGCAGGGGCAACCTTGGCTGACAGAGAGGGGGCAACAGAGGCATCCCTTGTCACTGAAGCGCAATGCAGGTTTCGTACTTGAGTTGCACGTCAAGCTGAAACAACCCAGACGACAGAGACGGCACAAAAGTTGGAGAACCTGCAAATTCACTAAGTACATGCTGGGTTTGGGTTCTCCAGCTGAGCCTTGTAGGCCTGCCAGACCGTGAGTATCGATGACGATTTCCTCTAAATCACCCGGATTGTGGAGGCTGCGTGGGCTGTGCACAGCATGTTTGGCCAGCCTGCCCTGCGTAGAAGATCCCATTTGACAATGCCAGCAGGTGAAGTTGAATTATTGGGGTAAAGCGCGGCACAGGACGTTGGCTGCAGATGTTCTTTGATTCGCAAGAAGCCCCCGTGACATGAGCTTGCTGCATATCTTACTACCAAATCGAATGGCTCGGTTCACAAAGACGGACGTGCAACAAACTAGCATTTAAAGTCAGCAGGCTTCATTTGCTGACGGGGAGCATTTGAAAGCTTGATGCCTTTTGGAAGATGCTAGTAGATTGAGTGTCGGGCAATGATGACATGGTTGAAGGCTTGAGTGGATGTCCTGTGCAACGCGTTTTATCCCCCTGCCGTGTTCGTACTTTATTTTTTTTTTGGGGGGGGAGGGGTTACCACACTAAAATGGGTGTTGAATCATTCGTTCATGCCTCACAAATGGTCCTTGTCAGGCTTGAACATTCGAGCTTCTGCCGCCCAACGCTCATTTGCTTCGTTGACGTGTAAAGAGCGGAAGAGGCTGCCTGTGGCGGCCTTGTGATTGGTCAATTTTCGGTTGCTGACCTTGCTACTGACAACAGCTACTGAGCTAACTACCTGAGCCTCGTTGGGCAATTGCTTTTGGTTGATTGCAGCAACCCTTGAATTCATGTGGCTACAAGCAGGCGGTGGCAAGCGATTTCAATCACCAGCATGGGGTCGAATTGTGTGCTTTGACTTGACAATGCTTGTCCCCAAGAGCAAACGACACCAATGGATCAGATTCAGTTGTGCCAATGCCCTGCATGAACATGCCCACCTGTGCACTTGGACCGCACTGCTTGGAAGTCAGCCAAGAGATAATGGCGCACAGGTCAGAGACTTGAGCTGTCAAAGTTATGCTGGGCAACATTGCGCTTAGCAAGTTGGCCAGCGTCAAACACGTCTGCTGAATTTTTGTCTTGAGCATGTACAGTGCGTCGGCTTGCATTTTGGAGCTCAGCAGCTTCGGATGCTTGCTCGTTGCATGCCTGCCACAAGATGCGGCAAAAGGCCTGAGCAGTTTGTTCGACTTTTCGTTTTGGCAGGCCCACAGCAACGGACTGCCTCATGCATTCGCTGAGCAGTCAGCACAGCTCCGAGAGACATGTGAACCTGGTCTTGTGGCCGCTGATCAGCGCAGACATTGAATCACAAGGACAGATTCAAGGAGACTTAGTCAGAAGCGATGGAGATGCAAGCCCTTGGAGTTGTTTGTCCTGGACCACTCTGGTAAGTTTTCCCTCCAGGCATCAGAGGAAGTGTTGATGCACAGGATGAAGTTGATCGCTCATGAGCAGTTGCTGTCAGAGCAATACTGGATACCTTGAGCCTCCAATCAAAGAATGGAGTAGCCCAGTTGCCCAGTGCCGCCCTGTTTTCCTTTTCTTTGGCAAGGGTTCCCCTTTAAACTCAACCAACCAAAAAAGGATGCCCTTTTTGTCCCCTTGCCACTGGGCATCTGAGGTAGTGAAGCTGCTAGCAAACCAAAAACGTCACACAACGTCCCTGCAAACTCCGCTGACAAGTCCTCCGATGCCCAGCAGAAGCTTTAGCAGCAGTTCCTCGAGGCCCAACGAATTGATGGGCCGATGGGTGCGATGGGTGCGATGGATCATCAGACATGCCGTCAGTAAGTCGCCCACACATCAACATCTGGGGTAGACTTAGGATACATTTTGCAATTTTCCAGTGACTCAAAGTGAAGCAAACAGTAAGATATACATTCTATAACCGGCCTAACTCTAATCATGACATGTCTCATACGTTTTTGGGGTGAATCCTTGTTTTTGGAAGCATCACCTGGCGCGGGTTTCGCTTTTGTGACCAGTGACTAGGCCGATGCAGCCGGCACGCCTGAAACCGCAAGCGCAGATGATGTCTACATCTGTACACGCAGCAAACATAGAGTGCAAGGCTTGCCTTTTGCTACTTGGCCAAGAAACTCCATGGCCTACATGCACTGTTGTTGTATGAATGGTTAGTGCTAGCCTTTGGGCACAGCCAGAGTACAACAAGCTTCTTATGTCACTGGACGGAAAGAGTTTGGAAGCGTGGAAGGTCGTTCAATGGTTTTCTCTTCTGTTTGAACTATGGGATCAAGTTTGGTCACCAAGTTTTTGGTTATTATACTACATGTGACATGTAAATATACACTTCCGAAGGTTACTGATCACATTCTCCGGTCTCACCGGCCATAGGGCCCATGGCCTTGCTTGCAGGCCCGATGACAGCTCCAGCAGCCAGGCAAGGTGATGCCACTCACCGTTTCCCAAGCATCGCATATTGAAAGAGCATCCATTTCTGACCGTCCCCTGTCGGTTTTGAAAATGGGGGTATCGTTTTTCATGGTCTCCTCTCCGTTTCTTGTGAATTTGTGTGGTGAACATGTCAGGCATTCAGGTGATATGCAAGCAGCATTTAGTCCATCCAGCTTGCTGCCTTGCAGTTGCCAGTCTCCTTGTATTGGGACAGATTGATATGTTTTTATCCGACGCGGGAGCGAATTGATTGCACTTGTGCATTCGTGTAGGACCATAGGATTGACCGGCCGTGAAGCTTTCATGATGCAGTGCTGCTTGTATCGTACGTCGTTGCAATGGCGCATTGTGGCATCGTGAGCACTAGCAACTCATCAGACTTTAGGGTCTCCAGGTGAGCTGTGGCAGATGGGGCCAAGGTGCTACCTTGGCAACGCATTCCAATCAAACTGACCAGGTTGACACGAGCGTTTAAGATCCATGCTAAGATCGAGCGCTTTCTTAGTTTCCCCCCCGTGCTTTGAACAACGATGCCGGGACATCCTCACGTCGGAATGAAGATGCCACAAGCAAGTAATTTTGACGCATGACTATGGGACGCATTGAATCCAACAATCAACACGACGTGGAAGAGGATCAGTTTGTTCAAACGCTTGAACAGTTGACTCAGCAAGCATTATTGAGTATTCAATGGTGGATGGCATGACCACGCGCAACAATCGAAATCATGAATTTTGGTTGAAACAGCGCAGATCTAGGTCAGGTTACGGCACAACAGAAGCCCCATCAGAGGACTCGTCGTGATTGTTCATGACGAGATAGCCAGGTGTCCTCATCAGCTTCGAGCCGGACGGCAACGCAGGACATGTAGCTCCTTCACAAAAATGTGAGATGATACTCAAAACGCACTCGAGCTTTGCACCGTGATAGTATCGTGGGGATCTTTGCGCAGCAAGCTGCTTCCAACAAAGTGGTGCAGAGGTAGGATCCAAGCATTTGCTCTTCATTGCTTGCGACTCCCGGAAACAAGATAGACATTAAATGGTTTGCCCAGCCAACATGTCAGCGATATTTTTTGTCGCTTTGTGAGCGACGGTTTGAAGCCTTCCTGATCTACCATTGCAATAGGCACGCATAACACGGGGTACACACACCAACCCACCGCTTAAACATAGGGGCACTCACACAATTCTCAAGTCAGAAGCCGCAGCGAGTCTGAAATCTCAGTATGTTGCATTGCACACATAGCACAAGAGAACTCCAACGGCGGGCAGATGCCGGGCTGGCTGCTTCAGCAAAAAGTACTTGAGTGATTTCAATCTGAGCAAGATGTGTCATAAATGAACCACTACTCGAGCACCTGTGTTGAATTCTGTGAACACAGCACCTTACTACTTCCCGCCTCATCCGCGTCAGATCCGTGCTAGTTGGGGCGCCTCAGAATATGGAATACCCTTTCAATGCCTCATGGTAGTGGACACACTAGGTCCCCCAGTAGTGCCCTTTTGCCCTTTTGGGAGGAGGGTTCCCCTACTAAAATAGACAGAAACAAGTTGGTAGGCTTATTCTAACCTCGCTACTGGAGGACATGGCTGTGGGTCAAAACCAATGGTCCCATTTTGGGGTAGGTGAATTCACCACCCATTTTAGAACCTATTTTTAGTGGGGATTGGGATGCTGGGGGTACGATTTGGATGTTGACCCATGGCCACATTGTGCTTTGAAATTGATGTTTGCCCGTATGTTTGCCCGTGGCCAGGAGTCTTTGCTTAGCCGCGGCGCCTCACTGCGGGATGCGGCGCCTCTGTCAAAGCATGGCCACCTTCGAATGTACAGACGGTCCAGAGGCACCCCTGAAGTCAGTTCAATGTCTGACGCTTCTATTCCAATATATCTTTGTTGCAGCACCACAGAGTGCCGTATGCTTGGCTTGGCCGCGCCTGCTTGTTGGAAGCTCGAGATAAGATCATGTATTTGTGTCAGGCTTTGCCACAAACAGTAGACTTGTTCCGTGCAATGCCGTACAGAGATGTTGCGATGCCAAGGCTCAGCTGTGTGATGCATGCGCCGGTCATTCCGCGCCTGTAGATGTGTTGCACGCTCCGGTAGCTCTTGATGCTTTCCTTGGAGTCGGATGCGCAGGCCTTTCTTTCAGTGAAACTTAGGCACAAGAGAAGCCCAACGTGGCAAAGTCCCCACGCTATGCAGCCAGCCCAGCTGAAGTGGCCGAGGAGGCGCTTGGCCTTGTTCGGGCAGAGGAGGATTTGTGATGTTTATGGTTTTTGCTGTAACAGTGCTCGCATGTGCCATGGCAGCCAAATTCGCAGAGCGTAGAGATGAGATAGAAAAGATTGGAAGGGGTATGGTCCCCGCCAACTGAGGTGATGCTGTGTGTTGACCCTTTGATATTTGCAAGCGCCTACCTAACAGAGGGCACCCGCAGGAGCTTTATTGAAGTAACCAATGTTCCTAGCCGTTAGTTTCCAGGCAGGGTTGCAAAGCAGAGACCACACGAGACCACATTAGCTGAACGAGCCTGTGTCGAAAAAGCTCTTTCAGCTTGGGAGATTCAGCGCCGGGATACTTCCGCCAGGAGGAGCCATTGCTGGGATCCGAAGTGATGCTCCAAGCTTAGCACTTGCGGGCTGTCCACTCGATTCCTCACCCGGATTGGACAATGTATGGGTCAAAACCCAAATCGTACCTCCAGTATCCCAATCCCCACTAGAATAAGTTCTAAAATGGGTGGTGAATTCACCTACCCCAAAATGGGATCCCATTGGTTTTGACCCACAGCCATGTAGAGATAGAATGGAAAGCCAGTCGGCCTGAATGACCTTGACTTTTGGTGCCTTGATTTCATGGGGGCTGGGGGGGAGGGGAAAAAGAGGGGGAGGGAGCCCTAAATAAGCCCCTATTAAGCCCTTAATCAGGCCTTATTTAAGGCTCCCTCCCCCTCCCCCTCCCCTCCCTCCCCAGCCCCCATGATGATTGCACGCCACACTCGCGACGGCCGAGTTATTTTGGCTAAGAATCAGTCCAAAGAAGCCGGCAGACGGCTTCCGAAGCCCTACTCCAAATACCCACCAGTTTTAGGGTATTTTTGAAAAACCCATGGGTCTCCATAGCAAATACCTCCTTTTTCAGTAGAGGGTCGACATCATAGCTTCAAAAAAGGGGTACTTGAGAGGGCTGGCTGAAAGGTCGGGCATCTCCTCTTCAGTCACCGCCTCTGCGGCCGCCTCCTCCTTCGCGGCTTCTGCCTTTGTGGACGCTGGCGTGGTGGCCGGTCTGCATTGGGCGGTCTCCGGTTTTGAAGAAGACCCTCCGAAACATGGAGCTCCTGCCTGCCCATGGCGCTTCGCGCTTATCTCTCCATTGGTTAAGACATGAGCCACTTGCTCAAAACCGATTCGGGGATTAGGGACAATCCCCTTGCCATAAGATCGCTGCGGATATCCGCCTTCGTATTTCTTGAAGCATGGTTCTGGGATTACGACCATTTGAATAGTGGGTTTTGAGCAAGTGACTCACATGGAGTTCCTGCCTGCCGGTGGCTTCCCGCTTATCTCTCCAGCGGTTCCTCCTTGTCCATGGGCTTCCCACTGCACAGGTTCCCAGTTTGTTCCCCATAGAAGGTGACCCACTGAGTTCCCACAGGTTCCCGAAGGTTTTTTCGCATAGGCTTCCCGTGGACTCACCAGTGGAGGTTGTTTTTGGTTTCTTAAGGAGATGTTCGC